CTCTGGAATGTGCTCCAAGCTCTCCCGGGATCCTTCCCTTCTCCAGCCTGGCCATTCCCAGCTCTCCCAGCCTGGAGCCAGAGCCTGCCATTGGATCCATCCCCAGCCCAGCTCCTCCCTGGGAAGGAGTTCCGGGAACAAGGGGGTTCCCTGGGAATCTCGGCACTCAGGGCAGGGTCTCCCTTCCCCTTTCCTGCCTTTTCCATCCCCACATTCCATAAAAACCCCTCTGAGTGGATCCTGAGTGTCCATTATCCTGGAATCCCAGCCTGGTTTGGGTGGGAAGGGACTTTAAATCCCATCCCATTCCATGTTCAGGGACACCTCCCACTATCCCAGGAGTGGCACTTTGGACCCTCTGGCAGTGCCCGATGTGGCCCCAATCCCACTTTTCCCTGGTTTTGGAGCCCATCCTGTCTCTCTCGGGCCTCTCCCACTTCCCAGCTGAGCCTCCAGCACCTCCCAACATCCCAGGAATGGCACTTTGGACCCTCTGGCAGTGCCCGATGTGGCCCCAATCCCACTTTTCCCTGTTTTTGGAGCCCATCCCGTCTCTCTCGGGCCTCTCCCACTTCCCAGCTGAGCCTCCAGCACCCGCATGGATCGGATCCCTCGGGATATTCCCAAACCTTTCCCAAAAAAAACCCTTTCCAGCCGCAATTCCACGTCCCCTCGGGGCTGGGAAAAGCTCCCCCGGGAATGTTGGGATCCCATCCCTGCAGGGCTGGAAAATCCCTGCGGACGCGGCCCCTCGGTGATCCCAAAGGGCTTTTCCAGCCGGGACAATTCCCGGATTTCCGCGGCCGCCAGAGGGCGCTGCAGCCCCAGCCACCGATCCCGGCCACGGGAAATCTTGGGAAAAATCCAAGGAATTCCTCCTTCCCCAGGGATGGGGAAGCTCCAGGTGGCATCCCGCCCTTTCCCGGGGAATCCCAGGAAATCAGGGAACAGAGCGGGACGAGGCCAATCCTGGAAAATCCCACCTGATCCAGAGCAGGAATTCCAGCAGGTAATATCCCACGGCGTAATCCCAAATCCAGCTGGAGGAGGAGCAGGGAGGCTGCAAATCCAAGAGGAGAGGGGACAGGATGGAAGTCAGGGAAGAGCAGGATTGGGAGGGAGGGGATTCGGGAGCACGGAGCGGGAGCGGGATCGGTCCGGGAGCAGGGATTGAATCCCAGCATTCCCAGAAATTCTGTCCCCTGGTTTGTCCTGAGCATTCCCAGAGCTTGGAAAACCCCAAATAATGGGAACAAGTCCCATCCATTCCCAAAAGAGACCAGGATTTGTCCTGAGCATTCCAAGAGCTTGGGAAACCATGGAATTTCCAGATTATGGAGACAACTCCCATCCATTCCCAAAAAGAGACCAGGATTTGCCCTGAGCATTCCAAGAGCTTGGAAAACCCCAAAATACAGGAAGAGGTCCCATCCATTCCCAAAAGGAGACCAGGATTTGTCCTGGACATTCCAAGAGCTTGGAAAACCCTGAGATTCCCAGATTATGAAAACAATTCCCATCAAGCTCCAAAAGGAGACCAGGATTTTCCAGGAAGATTCCAAGATCTTGGAAAACCCTGGAATTCCCAGATTATGGGAACAGGTCCCATCCAGCTCCAAAAGAGACCAGGATTTGTCTTGAGCATTCCAAGAGCTTGGAAAACCTCGGAATTCCCAGATTATGGGAACAACTCCCATCCATTCCCAAAAGAAGACCGGGATTTGTCCTGAGCATTCCAAGAGCTTGGAAACCCCCGGGATTCCCAACCCTTTCCCAAGGAGCCGCTTCCCGCCCCCGTGGTTTCCCCCCCTGCCGGAATTCCCGGGAATCCCTGGGGCCGTGCCCGATCCGTGGGATCCTGGTAGATGATCCGGACGTGGTCGCTGTGCGGGAACCACAGGAAGCGGAAATACTGGGAACGCTCCAGGTGCTCCTCCAGCTGCTCCAGAACCTGCGGGAAAAGCGGGATGTGGGGCCGGGATCCCGGGAAGGAGCATTCCCAGCAATCCTGGGAAGGAGCATTCCCAGCCATCCCAGGAAGGAGCATTCCCAGCCATCCCTGAGGAAAAGCGGGATGTGGGGTCGGGATCTTGGGAAGGAGCATTCCTGGTCATCCCTGTGGGAAAAGTGGGATGTGGGGTCGGGATCCCGGGAAGGAGCATTCCCAGCAATTCCAGGAAAGAGCATTCCCAGCAGTCCTGGGAAGGAGCACTCCCGGCCATTTCTATGGGAAAAGTGGGATGTGGGACCGGGATCCCGGGAAGGAGCATTCCTGGTCATCCCTATGGGAAAAGCGGGATGTGGGGCTGGGATCCTGGGAAGGAGTATTCCCAGCAATCCCGGGAAGGAGCATTCCCAGCCATCCCTGTGGGAAAAGCGGGATGTGGGGCCGGGATCCCAGGAAGGAGCATTCCCGGCCATCCCAGGAAGGAGCATTCCCAGCAATCCCGGGAAGGAGCATTCCCAGCAATCCTGGGAAGGAGCATTCCCGGCCATCCCTGTGGGAAAAGTGGGATATGGGGCCGGGATCTTGGGAAGAAGCATTCCCAGCAATCCCTGCCTTGGGATCAGCCCGGCACCGGGACAGGCCATGGATCCCACTTTGGGAATGAGAATGGAAATGGAGCTGGGATGGGAATGGGATGGGATGGAATGGAGTGGAATGGATGGGATGGGAATGGAGCTGGGATGGGATGGGAATGGAGCTGGGATGGGATGGGAATGGAGCTGGGATCCATCACACAGCCCTGTCCCAAAGACATTCCCTTCTTCAAATCCAGAATTCCCAAATTATTCCTAAATACATAAAAAAGAGCCTTAGGAAAGGCAGGCCCCTGGGATGAACTCCCTGCCTTTTCCATCCCCAGATTCCATAAAAATCCCTCTGAATGGACTCTGAGTGTCATTTATCATGGAATTCCAGGGTGGTTTGGGTGTGAAGGGACCTTAAGGATCATCCCATTCCATGTTCAGGGACAGATCCCACTATCCCAGGGAATCCAACCCAGCCTTGGGCACTCCCAGGGATCCAGGGGCAGCCACAGCTTCTCTGGGAATTCCAGCCCAGCCCCTCCCCACCCTCCCAGCCA